CCCTTTCCCTCACTACTGCCGTGCCACTCACCCATAGGCGGACCCGGACCCTTCCCGCTTGGTCAGCAGCCTCGAGTCCCTCCGGGTGTGCGCTTGCCCGATCTTGACCACCACCCCTCCCAGCGTCCCATCGGTCTGGTTGCGACACGGGTCGTCGCCATCGCCCAGTCCGGCAACACACGGCACCGACAAACACCAACGAGAAGACGAGAGATAAAGAATATTTTGTCGGTCGGTGTGAGCATAGTGACGGTCCTGCCGTCACATCCTACAATACTCTACATACATTAATAACCGTCGTAGTGGTTGACACGTTGTCACCTTTGGTGCTTAACTGCTACCACAGGCTTGATACAACTTGGCATGCTTTCACCTGTCTTGCTGGGGTAACGTCCGTGCGAAACACGGCCATGTCTCATCAATGCTGCTACAAAGTACAGTCGGGAGCCCGTAATAAGGCCGCATAGTGTCGCCTCTCGAGATCATTGTCACACGGTTCAGCCAAGATGAGGTTATCGTGCGGGACCTAGTGTACTTGAAGGAGGAGGAATGGAGGGGGGGGGGATTGCTGGACCGAGTCCGGAGGGCGGTGTGGGGGATGCTATATGCCGACGATGCCGGCGTTGTGTCGAAGTCCGCCGACGGCCTGGCGAGGATGATGACCATTATCGTGGAGGTGTTCCGGGAGTTCGGGCTGACGGTGTCGGAGAGGAAGACGGAGACCCTGGTGATGCGGGTGAAGGAGAGACAGCGACCGCCGCCGCCGCCACCGCCGGTGCTGACCATCGAAGCAGCGGGGCAAAGGTACGCACAGACGACCGAGTTCCGATACCTGGGCGGCCTCGTCAACGAGCAGGGCGACCTTACCCGAGAGATCAACCACAGGAGCAAAGCAGCGTGGGCGTGCATTAAGCGATACGCCACGGAGCTCTTCGACCGACCGGGAGCACCGTTTCGCCTCAAAGCCCGCCTGCTCCAGGCGGAGGCAGTGGAGGCACTGCTATACGGCTGCATGACATGGTCCCCACGCCGCAACCACTACGGAATGCTGCAGACGACACACCACCGGCTACTCCTGCGAGTCATCGGCTACCGGCGCAAACGAGGCACCTACCGGCAGCTGTCATACGCCCAGGCGCTAAAGAGGGTCGGCTGCCAGAGCGTGGAGGCCACTGTCCGTCAACGGCGCCTGCTCTTTGCGGGGGCCGTGGCAAGACAGCCGGACGGGCGGCTTCCGAAACGGCTGATGTTCGGCGAGTTGGTGGGAGGGGAGGACCCGGGCCAGGGAAACCCGGAGCAGAACTGGCTGACATGCCTGAAGGACGACATGAAGATGTTCGAAGCCAGGTACGGCTCCACGACCGACAAGCCGAGCGTCTTCGGAGTCCCGAAGTTAGTCTGGAGTGAGGCGGCGAAGGTGGAGGGGGGGGTACCGTGGCACGCGGGGGTGCTACAGGGAGCTGAGAGGTTCATGGCCTCTTGGCACAAGGGCAAGGAGGAGGCCAGCCGACAACGAGCCATCAAACGAGGAGACAGCGGGCCCAAAAATAGTCTAGATACGGCACCAATCAACGGGGCGGTAGGGGGGCGGAAGGAAACGGCGCGGCGGGAAGAAAGCAAGCGAGAAGAGACCGACCGCGTGACGTGACATGTTGCGGTCGAATTTCAACGACTAATTTTTCTGTTGCCCTCTCCCCCGTTTGCTGTCGCGTTCAGACTGTCTCTAGGGATATCCCTGTCTCTGTGCGAGTTTGTTTGTGTCCTCGTCTTTGCTTTATTCTGTTTTATTTTGTCTTTTGTTTTGTTTTTTACTGGCACGTACCCCCGCCCCTTCCTTTGGCCGTCGACCTGCCTCCATGTAGTGGGAGGCTACCCCCCCAGGCTGGTGGTGCGGCCGTTCCACTAGTCTAATTATTTATTTAATTCTATTTTATTTGTTTCTGATTATATTTTGTTTTCTTGTATTTTATCGCTCTGCTGACCCTTGGGGTCCATTTTATTTTGGTATACCTTTTCTAGGTACGTTAGCCTGTGACCACGGAAATTGGCCGAGTCAAGTGATGGATTAGTACGGAGAGATTGAGACAGAAGGAGGTACTGGATAGAGAGACCGGGATGGTTTTTAATGTGAAGACAACAACAACAACAAGTGTCATGAGATTTTTTTTGGTCTTCACTTCAAATCAGCGCTCACGGCACTAGTGTCGTTTACTCCAACCCGTGGTCACACAGAAGAGCCCCTCTCTACCCTCCCCTCCTGCGGTACTTTGCCTTCGATTTTTAATGCGAGAAGAGTTCAGCACTCTCTTCCCTCTGTACACACGAACAAGCGCTATCCACTAGGCCAGGAGCAGAAGCGAGAGAAAAACTCACTTTGCAAGAAAAGCTCGCTTACGCCGGGATTCGAACCCCTGACCTGACCTCTAGAAGGTTTCGAGATTACCAACTAGACCACCGGGGCGACAATGGTTCAGATTAAACCGGCCTTATTGAGGGCAACCGGCCTCATACAGAATCGGAGCTGTAAAAGGCCGGTACCGGCCTTATTGAGGATTTCTATTTCCTCAATATGGCCAGCACCGGCGGTATAGAACACCCGTGCGCCTACCGTAGGCCATACGAAGCGGACGATGCGTTTGAATCGGTGCTTTTGCTATCACGTCCATTCCGTGTTTCCCACCCAATCTTCTTCGTCTCTAAGGTACATGTCCAATCGTCAAGAAATATAATTCCGGCAGACAACATGAATACTACTGTGATGAAGAAATTCCATGGTAGGAAATAGACCTCAGGCAGATGCCCCGTTTCGCAGAAAAATAGAGAAACAAGGCCGTGCTCATTGATGTGACCCGCAGTACGAGGCGAACACCTGAGACGATACCATGAAGGAGAGGTCAACACCGGCCACAAATCAACACATGCAATTTACAGCGTTCTCGGAAGCCACGCACGGAGAGTGGGGTGACTGGGCACAAAATACTTTCATGTGATGATGATACCCGTCTCGGTATGGTCGCTTCCAACTGTGACCGTTTCGTGTCAGTTATGGGTTCGCGTGCTCTGTGTTTGGTTCTGACTCTTGGTAGTGGAATTGTGTAGTGTCTCACGAGGCCAATAGCATTGGTAGCGTCGGGAGGGGTGCTTGCTGCTAGCTCCGTGAGACTGTGCACTATGTAGCTGTGCACGAGAGCGGGTATGATATGCTGCGAAACCAGCGTCACTTCTTCGGAGACAGGCCTTACTGGGGGCAGGCGAGGGGGCCAAAACCGGCCTTATATCGGGCAGGCGGCCTTATTGCGGGCCCCCTATTGCACAAAAAGGTTTCACGTTATGAAACCCCGCGTATCGAATGCGTAAACATGAAAACGACGAAGAAAAGACAGATGCCTGCGAAAAAAAAGAGAATATATTTCCCATGTTGGCAAGCCCTTCGACCTGGCGTGACTTTTGACAGAATTAAAATGTCGTCCGCAGAAGTTGCGCACGTAAAAGCTCTCATCATCAGCTCTCATTTGATTTACCGTAACGTTGCGGGAATAGAGATATGGTGCAGGAGGCGATGATCAAATTGCCATGGGCGGCCATCGACCGGCGATTTCACTGCTGTTGTTACTGTCTTGTCTTATCATTCATAAGCATTGCAGCAACAGGCTGTTGTCTCGTGTTGGGACTACCGCTCTTGTGTCATGTATGTAAATCCGCGAGAGATCTGCTTGCTATTGCTGCGCGGGGCCGTACGAAAGGCGGACTCCCAGAGATGATGAATGATTCGCCAACCTGCGCACTGATGAGAAAGTTGTACGCCACGACTGACTGCTGGAAGCATGCTACAGCAGTATTGTACATTGGGCTTGGATGCCTGTATGTACGCGAGACACCCCCAACCATGGATACAAGCGAAAGAAAAAAAACACACACACACAAGTCATGTTCGGCCCCCGGCGGTTTTCCTCGTGTGCCCAATCATCGAACTCCAGGTCAGAGAGTCAGAGGGAGGAGAGCCGTTTGTGCGTGCCAAAACCTTTTGTGTTGCTGCTTGTAGTGCTTACTCGACGTCAAATGAAGGTGACGGGCGTCAGGAGCCCACCGACCATATATGGTGACGTGTGTGTGTTCCCGATTGGACAAGCTATTGCCTGCTGTGTATCGTAATGGGCGTGGTCTAAGGCAGAAGATTGTCTATTATACCTCGCTCTGTCTTGTCCCCACACGCTATGCATTATCTACGCCTTTCGATTCAGTTCAGCGCATGATGATGAGAGAGCACAGAACATCTTGAAAACTCCTGCAACAACGTTCCGAGGTACTACAGTATGGGCAAACGGCCTTTGCTCCCTTCGACGGCAACAGCAGTATTTTCGTACTGCTGTAGCACACGCACTGCTACGAAAACGATCCGCCTCTCTCTCTGTGCTACGGAGCGCAACAAGCAGTTGCAATACCTGCTTTCATAATTCTGAAGATCACCTAGGCTGTGTTTCGTTGCCACTCGCCCAAACCCACCCGCTCTAGTTCTTGAGTTACTCGACTTGGCGCCTACTTTGGCCTAGAAGAGCGACAACGGCAATCAAATACGGAACATCTCAACAATCACCCCATTCTCTCTGACTTAAAGTTCGCGTCCTGTGGTTCTTGCTCTCTGCGTGGAGGATGCGAGCTCTGGCGGCACGTTGCACACTGCACAAAGGTCGAAGGGAGAATGCCCCTGTCCATGGCACAGCCCTTCACTGCTGTGGCAGCACCAGTGTCGGTGTGCGTTCAAAAACCTAACCTCTCTGCTCTGCTGTAGCCGGGGTGTCTTTTGTGTCTGTTGCCCGTTCAACTCACCGTCAAACCTCCGGCGCTATCTTTTGGCAGAAGCGACGCCGGCGCCTCGGCAGCTTCGTGTTCGTCCACGGGCTCCATCTGACGCTCGAGTTACCTGCAGCAGAAGCAGCTAGCAGCTACCTCTCGAAATCAATCCACCTGCTGCCTGCACACATAGCCATGTGATTGGCCAAGTTTCTTCTCTTCGAACTTCGAACCCGCGGAGGGTCTCCGCGAGCTGAGAAACGGTTTTTACAACGTACCAACTAGAACATAATGCGGGTTCCCCGACTCTAAAAGCCTTTGCGCAAAAGCTAGATGTGGCAAAGCACATCATGTTCCACGCCAGCAGGGCTGTAAAGAAGGAAGATCTGGGACCGGTACGCACACGCGTTTCAGGCCTGTGAGTAATACACACATCCGAGAGATATATATCTCGAGGGTAGGAAAAGATAGGTAAGGCGAGCAGCGCTGTAGGGAAAACGACGTGATGTAAATGAGCTCGCTGTTCTGCTGCACTCTCGCGGATAAGGCACCGCGGCATCATCGATGACGAGGGGAGGCAACGGCGTGCACAGCAGCACCCAGAGGAGCAGCAGCAGTATCGCCGCCGGCCTTCGCAGCGGTAGCAGGAAGACCACAGCAGCAGGAGGCACAGCAGCAGCAGCAGCAGCAGCGACGGCCGCCAACTCCGCCGAGGAGGTCGCGAGAGGCCTCGAGGCGCTCGAGGCAGTCGCCATCGCGGCCAAGACCTCCTCCAGCCGATCGCCCCCGGGGACTCGGAACGGATCCTTTTCGTCAACAATCGGCGGCGGAGACGACTTCACGCCCCTGCGGTCGGCGGACTCTTGCCACACGGTGGAGGCCTCAGACCCGCCAGGCTGGAGGGGGAGAGGGCGGAAGGAGGAGAGAGGGATGGCGGCCCTCAAGAGCGTGGCCGGGTTGCACGGTTCGTCGTTCCCCGGTAGCAGCGCTTCCGCAGCCGGCGACTGCACTACTTCTCTGCCGCTGGCGGAGTTTCCTCGGCTGCAGTCAAGCACGCCTCCGCCCAAGCCCGCCGGGTTATCACTCGTCCGCATCAACAGCGACGCGTCGACGAACAGCGGCGCTGGCTTCGGCGGCGCCGCCAACACCCGGAGCACCTCCGAGTTTTCTCCCTCCTTCATGGCGAGGGTTGCCGCCGGCGGGAAGAACGCAGCACCAGGCGGTAATAGCAACTCCTCCTCCGCCGACAACTCGCCGGAAGTGCGGTTCAATAAGTCGAGGGACTCGGTGCTGATCCTGAAGTCAGCCCCCGGGGTCTGTCGGAGCAGGAAGGCGAGTTCGTCCGGTTCTGCGGCCGCCGCGGGAGGGTCGGCCAAAAACAACGCTTCCCAAGGTGGGGAAAAGACCAACGACACGATCGCCGCTGCCCGTCGGAGCCTCCGTAGGACGGGGTCCCTCCCCGTAGCCGACGCCAACAACAATAACGCCTCCGTCGCGGCGGTGGTGGCGGCGGCGGCCGCGGCGACGGGTGCTCCAGACGACCAGCAGCAGCAGCAGCCGAAGCGGTCCTCTTCTTCCTCGTCGTTGAACAAGATGCAGCAGATGTCCCCTCGCGCGAAAGGGTTCAGCGCGATAATGTTTCACGAGAGCTTCACGTCCGTCGACACCAAGGCCGGCGCCGACCCGATCAAGAAGCAGCAGCGGGGCTGGTGGGTGGAAGAGAACAACCACCACCCTCTATCTCCACCGCCAACGCTGTCAAGCCCCCCTCGACGGCGTGCCCCTCCACAGCAGCAGCAACAGCAACAGCAGCAGCAGCAGCAGCAGCAGCAGCAACAGCGGCAGCAACTACAAGGGCAACAGGCCAGCGAAGGTGTCGTCGTTGTCGCCGAAGACCCCCGGTCTGCGCGGGGTGGCGGTAGCGGCGCCAGGAGGGTCGGCGCGAGCGTCGCGGCCTTGGCGGGAGGAAGCAGCATCGCGGCCGAGAACGAACAGCTCAAGCTTGAGAGCAGGCGGCTCGCGAGCGCGCTGTCTACGGCGAGGGTGAGTCTAGACTAAGGACGAAGCGGATGATGTTTATGAAAGTCTACAAAATTATTCAGAAAAAGATCATGGTAACACGGAAAGGCTATCCGTTGGAGGTTCAGCAACAGTGTTAGGTGGTTGTGCTGAAGTCTTTCCCCCAACCCGCTCCCTGACTGGTTTAGAAAAATAGTGAGCTTGAAATCGAACTCTGGCCGCCCGAGCTATGCTTTCTGTAAAATTAGGTTGCAGATGGCGCCCGCACGGAAATAACTTGGCAGTCAAGATCTTCATGCTATGCAGAAAGAGCTCGAACACCGTTTGGTCAGCCGGGGTTAAGAATTCGTACACTAAAAACCTGTGTTGCGGCCATTTTTTCGCCCACAGGAGGAACGTGGAACAAGCGCACTCAGCACCCAAGGTCGATATCTCAAAGTTGTGATGCGCACGTTCAGTTATCTTTCGCCGAAACTGTATTAGGAAATCCCTATGTATCTCCAAGGAAGGCAACAAACAGCAGTTCGTGGTACGCCCAGAATTTTGACGTGATTTTTCATTGTTACCTCTTATGTTCCAATGTATTACACGACGATGACGATGAGAAGGAAAGCGCGGATATGACGAAGGAGCGATCCAGGGTGCTGGCCAAGCAGGCGACTTTGCGGGTAAGCAGCAGAAAAGAAAAGAAGGAATCGCAGATACCACGTACCAGCTTTATTGTTTGTTTTCGTGTGTGTGTTGTTAGTGTTTGCATCGACCGCGCTAACCGACTGACCGATCAAAGTACGTCCTTCTCAGCGCCTGCCAAAATCGGCTTGTTTATGATTCGGTGCACGAAAGAGTTCTTGGGCGTTCTTTGTTCCAATCTTTGTTGCATGCTGCACCCACAGCCTATGGTAGAGCGTTTGATTTACTGTCCACAGCAGTATCTACTTCGTATGTAGTTCACGTGCCTTTGCGCGGTGTCCCTAGCGAGCGTGTGCATGTGCGCTTTTTGTGTGCGACAGATTATTACGAGCTTAATGTCTCAAGAGAACGGTTCGCGAGCAAGTCTCGCGTAGGCGAGGGGCTTGCTCGGCGGACCAACGACAAAATCAAGCATTAAGACAGCGATGCCTTCACCGACTTGGCTTGGCATTGGCTTGACACGGCATACAGTCCCAGGAGTGGGGTGCTGATGGATGGACGCACTATTAGCCGGCAGCAACAAGGAGGGTACCAAAGGGAACGAGGCAGAACGTCCGCTCGCCCCTGCCCCGCCCCCCCCAACACGCACACAACGATAGATTTGTCATAGCGGTTGTTATACTTGTCTGTGTTCACAATGTGCATCTAAGGCGTACCATCTGTCTCTTTTTAACGCAAAAGGAAAAACTTTGGTGAGTCTGGAGACCGTGCTTGTTTCCGCCGCCGCAGCCGCCGCCCCTGCACCCCCCGTCATGCGGTCCGCGGAGAAGTTTTCGAGCGAAAGAAAGGGAAGGAAAGGGAACGATCTAGTCTAGGAAACGAGCAATTGGAAAGGAGTGCGGTGGTATGCCGTCGGCTTGCCTACCTGCCTATCCCCCCCCCCCCCCCCCCCCCCCCCCNAAAAAAAAAAAAACCCCCCCCCCCCCCCCCCCCCCCCCCCTACGAGTAAATACTGTTTTCGGCGGACCCAGGTAGTTCACGCTGACGGTAGGGGGTCGGCAGGCAGGCCAGAGGGGGGTAGTGCGTGAATTTGTCATGTCACTTTTGTAGGTGTGGTTGACAGAGATATCTACCTCCCTCGTAAATTTGGGCGATTATTTCCGCGAGGCTTGACTGATAGAGATATGCCTCTCCCGTAAATAAGGGACGTAGCACCGATTCATTTTGCGGAGCCCCGTTCGTCGGGCCCCGCGGACCACAATAATTCTTGAGGGCGGTTTCCATGTTTCCATCGATCGCCCGGCTGTCGCGGAGGATGCCCGACGTGAGAACGCACATGCGCGGGCATGCGCCCGCGCGCGCCCTCAATCGCGTACCCCTACCACGTTACCATCAGTGTTGAACTTTTTTTTTGTGCGTCATGGTCTGCGCATGTGTGTGTACAAAGTTGTTGCTCTGCCGCCCGCGTTCTTTAGGGTCTCGGTCTGTCAGCATTGTGGCAACCAGGCACACACACAACACCAACAGAGCAACGACAGCATCCGCGGGCCAGCTACCTCAGCTGCTGAAGCCTGCCGGTTTTGTTGTAGACAGACGGTGACGAAAATGAGGCATGTATGTGTGCGAGGCTCGTTGCTCCCTCGGTGTGTCGTGTGTCTTTTGTCTATTTTACTCCCCTTGGGAAAATGGGATCTTCTTGTAGGAGGAACACGCAGAGAGGATCATCATGCCAAGTGGTGTGCGGCAAGCGCGCCCTCGGTTCGCTGTACTGCTGCCGCGCGAGCTGCTGCGTCCTGTTACGGCGGCAACTCGCCTGCTTTGTTGTTGTTGTTGTTGTTATTGTCGTCTTCGCATCGAAACTGGCCTCGATACCCTGTCCAGCACCCTATACCACCCGTACGGGTCTAGTTGACGCGGACGACTGCCGTGGTCACAGACTATCATGTTCCACCACATAACATGAATAGCGAAAGTTAACTAAATGCTTGGCCTGCTTTGAACTCGTGCATCGTTTGGTTCGTACTATGATATATCGTCTATTCCGATGCGGTTCGTGCTGCATCGTTATTATGTTGATGCGATGACCGCGGTCGCTGCTGAGAATGACCCACCCCCCCACCCCACCCGGGTAATGTACGCTTCTACAACATGGGTATGTGCTGCCCTTCCTACCTACACCAGGTGCGAGGGGCGGAGGCTCAGCGTGCGGCGGCGGAGGAAGCCGCGAGGGAGGCACAGGCCAGGGCTTACAGTCTCAGTGCAACCGTAGAGGTGAGAAGAAGAAATTGAAATCGCAGCAGTTCAGCAGCTGAAAGTAGTATACAACAAGGAAAAATAGAAGAATATACCAAAAAAGAAAAATGCACGTTACTGCGTAGGTTGCTTATTTGCTGTTTGATATAATTAACTGCTTTCTGCGTTTTCGGAAGAAAACAGTTGGGATGTGGTACGGCAACGAGATGAGACGTGGAAGAAATGGTGACTTGGCCGCACCGCGCCGCGACCGTCTTTCACGATGATGAGTGCTAAACATATCACCGTCGTATATACCAGCGCAGTTGTAGTATCAATGCCGCCACCAGCTCCAGCAGTGCTGTATCAGCAGAAACTGCGTCTCGTGTACCTCACTCAATGCGTTATCCTCTCTCTTGCCTCTGTCTGCCTCACAGGTGCTAAAGAGCACCGCGGATTGTGGTGTGTGGGCCGAAGGAAGGCGCCTGACGACGAGAGAAATCGAAGCCGAGGTCACCGCAGGCGAGTTTTTGTTTTTGTTCTCGTCTGCTCATCAGATGGTGCGTCTGTCATATTTTCCGGCGATTATTCCGTACAGCAAGCAGTGTCGTGCGTAACATGTCATGCACAAGGTTGTCATCACACCAGGTCCGGTTTCGCCTGGGCTCTCTCGATTTTTTTTTAACATGTCATGCACAAGGTTGTCATCACACCAGGTCCGGTTTCGCCTGGGCTCTCTCGATTTTTTTTTAACATGTCATGCACAAGGTTGTCATCACACCAGGTCCGGTTTCGCCTGGGCTCTCTCGAGTTTTTTTTAAACCGATTCTAATCCCCCCGAAAAAAAGTAAAAACTAACCGTGTGACATTCTTTTCCTGTATGACCCCGGCTGGTACGTTAAGCATATGTATACAACGAAAATCAAAATCATCTGGAGCGATGCCAGAATTCCAGATAGGTGGGAAGAACACTCACATAGGCTCTCCCATGACTGTCCCCTCACGGGGTCCGAGATCGTGAGCTTTAGACGCATTTTGTGTTTGCAACCGCACTGAGACTGATGTCTTTCCATTGGTCAGCCGGTTGGCGCGGTCGACGCTACCAACGAAAAGGCACTCACACGCACACCTTGATTCTCTCCTCTCGTGTTGCTGGGCCATGCGTTTGCATGTCCGGGTGACTCAATCGTTTTCGGCGCGACACGTTACTTTGCTTTCTTGTTCCAGCTTACCAGGGCATTCTGCAGGAGATGGACATGGAAAGAGCTGACCTTCAGGAGCAGCTGATGGCGGTGAAAATGGAGAACAAAATTGTGAGAAGTGGGCGAAGGACGTATATACGTATTGGCCGATTGACCTGATGGTATTGTTTGTTTGGTTTGTGTTTTTCCGGTGTGGCTTGACGTCAAGAGAAGCAGGCGTGGCGTCACCGTTCTCTCGCTTGTGCAGCTTTGCTTGGTGTGGTTTGTCTCCCTCCACTATAGCTAAGAAACAGCGAGTGCTCCACTTCTCGAAAGGGGTGACGCGTCGTTAACAATCCCCGCCTCCCCCCCTCTCGAGAATGCGTGGTCAATAGTCTAAGCGCGAANCCCCACCGCATATCCCTCAATGTAGCTCCGGTCCAGAGCCATGGGCGTCCCTCACACTCCGCGGACGCGTTCCTTCTCGGGGGCAACCTCCACGACCAAGGACAAGGAGCTGGAGCAGGACGGGGACCTCATGAGAGAACTGAGCCCTCTGCCGGTCCCCCGGTCCTTCGAAAGGCCGAAGGCTAGGGGCATCTCTATGGCTCGCGACTCGGTCGGGAGCGGAGATGAGGGGCCAGCGAACGGTAGCGGCGGGGAAGGTTCGAGGCACCGGCGGGGGGGGGCGCGGGGTTTCCTGAGAAACGTGTTGGGGCCCCGCGTGAGATTCGTCCAGCTGGACGGCGCCGGGGGCACCTTGTTTGGAGGTGGGACGGGGAAGGGGGGGAGGGCGTACTGAGTTTTTTTTTATTGATGTATGACTTGATTCCGTGAGCCACACCTATATGTCGTTCGAGACGGAATGCAGCTCCAACGGGGGGAGGGGGGGTTCCGTGAAATACCTCGGTGCGTTGTTTTTCCAGGGGATTTGTCTGGTACCCAATGGGCTAAGATCAAAGTCTTTGGGGTGAGCCGTGTGCGCATGACACCAGAACCCAATGACGTCGGCCGTATCTTACCCAACGGCCACGAACGAACAGCAGGCGCAGCTGGCGGCAGCCCGCCGGTGGCCTCACCATCATCATCATCATCATCGTCGTCGTCGTCGTTGTCATCGTCCGCACCGCCGCCGCCTACCGAGAAGCTCCGGGTGGTGGCGAAACCATCCGCAGAACCTCCGCCGCCGCCGTCGAAGTCCGCGAGGGTGGCGCGAATGGGTACGCGTGGAGGGGGGGCACTGCCGTTGGCGTTGCCCTGGTCGAAGGAGCTCGTTCTCTGGTACGGCAGGGTGTCTCTCGTCCTCGCTCCGTGTGCATCAGCGGCAGCGCAAACAGGTGCGCGTTGTACGACGTAC